AATATGTACACACTGCCACTGTTTTCTTGACATGTATATATGTACACATGTGTATATGTATTGTGTGGCAGGAGATGCCAAACAAACAAATCTACTCAGTGCTAACACTCTTCACAAACGTACCTGACAAATCAGAAGTTTGGAAATATTGACTGAAAATGTTTATAGGTTTCTGTGCAGCCCTGCCTCAGATATGAAAAAAAAACAAACGAAAACAACCATAAAAAACTAACTCAAACAGAAATTAGAAAAGTCATAAAATATCCCACTGAATTGAGTCAGGATCTCACCCATCTGGGATTTATACCAGGAGATGTTCTTTTCTGGTGTTGCTGTCAACAGAAATGTTTAAATATACCTTCAAGAGCTGAAATATTTTGAAAGAAATTATGTTTGCCTTATGTATGCAAGCAACATTCTGACTTTAATGAGGTCTTTGCTAAAACTAGAACATATATAGTCACCTTAATTTTAAGAGGAATTATGTGTGGAAGAAGATGAAGTAAAAGTGTTAGGATCTTGTCTAAAATGAGCTATTGTTTAATTTTTTCATTCTATTTTGTTCTGTTCTACTCTATTCTCAGAATATAGATTACAAACTAAATTTTTTAAGCATAATAAATTGAGCTCTTGTGCAAAAGGTAATGGTGTTCACAGTGAAGAAGACATTGTCATTGTAGCTTAAAGAATACAGTATCTTTCTTTTAAACATGAATGAAGAGCACAGATTCATTCTGCTGTAAGGTCCTTATATCATCATCCTCACATAAACCACCTGAACTCCTTCTAGTAGTGCATTGAATTATATGATATTTTATATCACTGTCATATGCAGCTCATTCTTTTTTTCTCATATTTCCTGCAGGGAAGAATTGTGCATGCAGTGGCAAGATTTATTTCTTCCACAGAATTTTTTATTGTTTTAAGGTTGGAGAAGGCAGGTCAAAGAAAAGTGGTTTGCACTTGGTGATAAAATATGTGTTAGTCCTTAAGATTTATTTTTTTTTTCTTGGGAGTTTGTTCTGTACTCTTAGCTCCATTGCAGAGAAAATTTCCTCTGTCATTCTCTCATATTAGCTTTAAGTTAAAAGCTCAGTTTTGCCTGAGGAGTTATTGATCACAGCCTTCATTGAAAGATCTGGTGATCACTCAGCAGTTTCAGACCTAGGCCAAGTAATTGCCACTTTCAAGAAACAAACAATTCCAGAACTAACCTGAGATAAACTGAGGTAGCTCAATAGATTTCAATCATTAATATCAGCTGACGGTTTGACCTAACTTTAGAAGGAGTATATGAGAGTTCAAAGGTGTGGAAAGCTGTTCTAGCTGCAAATCACTGCAAGCTTGTAGTGCTGCTGAATCTCTAGTCCTAAACACTGCTATGAGAGTTAAAAATTAACATTTCTCATTAGAACCAAATCCAAAATTTTTCAGAAACTGATTTTTTTTTAAATCATGAATATTACTTGAATCTGATTTGATCTTTTGCTATTAATCATACTAGAAACAACAGTCAGTGGTAATATGTAATTTTTACTGAGCATGAAATGCAAGGTTATCAAATAGCCATAATGACCTACTTTGACTATAAAGCTTACAAGATCTAATAATTCACTTTTCCCAGGCTGAAATTTCAATCCATTCATCTTTCTCAAAGCAACAATGTGATACAATATTTAAAAACAATCACACAAAAAACAAAACAAGAAAAACCAACCCACACCTCCTTAAAATAAACCAACCCAACAACAACCACAAGTTAGCAACAGAATGGATAGTTCTTAGAATCACAGAATAGTTAGGGTTGGAAAGGACCTTAAGATCAGCAAGTTCCAACCCCCTGCCATGGGCAGGGACACCTCACACTAAACCATATCACCCGGGGCCTCGTCCAACCTGGTCTTGAACACTGACAGGGATGGAGCATTCACAACCTCCCTGGGCAACCTATTCCAGTGCCTCACCACCCTAACAGGAAAGAATTTCCTCCTTATATCCAATCTAAACTTCCCCTGTTTAAGTTTTAACCCATTACCCCTTGTCCTATCATTACAGTCCCTAATGAAGAGTCCCTCCCCAGCATCCCTATAGGACCTCTTCAGATACTGGAAGGCTGCTATGAGGTCTCCACGCAGCCTTCTCTTCTCCAGACTGAACAGCCCCAACTTTCTCAGCCTGTCTTCATACAGGAGGTGCTCCAGTCCCCTGATCATCTTCATGGCCCTTCTCTGGACTTGTTCCAACAGTTCCATGTCCTTTTTATGTTGAGGACACCAGAACTGCACATAATACTCCAGGTGAGGTCTCGCAAGAGCAGAGTAGAGGGGCAGGATCACCTCCTTCGACCTGCTGGTCATGCTCCTCTTGATGCAGCCCAGGATACAGTTGCCTTTCTGGACTGCAAGCGCACACTGAAGCCGGCTCATGTTCATTTTCTCATCGACCAACACCCCCAAGTCCTTCTCCACAGGGCTGCTCTGAATCTCTTCTCTGCCCAGCCTGTAGCTGTGCCTGGAATTGCTCCAACCCATGTATAGGACCTTGCACTTGTCATGGTTAAACTTCATAAGGTTGGCATCAGCCCATCTCACAAGTGTGTCAAGGTCCCTCTGGATGCTATTCCTTCCCTACACAGCTTGGTGTCATCGGTAAACTTGCTGAGGGCGAATTCAATCCCACTGTCCATGTCAGCGATGAAGATGTTAAACAAGACCGGTCCCAACACTGATCCCTGAGGGACACCACTTGTTACTGGTCTCCAGATGGACATTGAGCCATTGACCACAACTCTTTGTGTGTGGCCATCCAGCCAGTTCTTTATCCACCAAGTGGTCCATCCATCAAATTGATGTCTCTCCAATTTGGAGAAAAGGATGTTGTGTGTGACAGTGTTGAACGCTTTACACAAGTCCAGGTAGATGACATCAACTGCTCTACCCCTGTCCATCAGTTCTGTAGCCCCATCATAGAAGGCCACCAAATTGGTCAGGCAGGATTTCCCCTTAGTGAAGCCATGCTGGCTGTCACCAAGCACCTTGTTGATTTTCATGTGCCTTAGCATGCCTTCCAGGAGAATCTGCTCCAAGATTTTGCCAGGCACAGAGGTGAGACTGACTGGTCTGTAATTCCCCGGGTCATCCATTTTCCCCTTCTTGAAAATGGGGGTTAGATTTCCCTTTTTCCAGAACTTCACCTGACTGCCATGATTTTTCAAGTGTGATGGACAGGGGCTTCGCAACTTCATTCGCCAGCTCCTTCAGGACCTGCGGATGGATCTCATCAGGACCCATGGACTTGTGCACGTTCAGATTTTTAAGATGGTCTTGAACCAGATCCTCTCCTAGAGTGGGCGCAAGGTCTTCATTCTCACAGTCCCTGTGCTTTCCAAGACTTGGGTGGTCCGGTCAGAGACTTTTCCAGTGAAGACCGAGGCAAAGAACTCATTCAGAACCTCAACCTTCTCCAAATCCGGTGTAGCCAGTTCTCCTTAGAGCTTCCTGAGGGGGCCTATGTTCTCCCTAGTCTGTTTTTTATTTGCTATGTACCTGTAGAATCCCTTCCTGTTATCCTTAACATCCCTAGCCAAGTTTAATTCTAACTGAGCCTTAGCTTTCCTAACCTGGTCCCTAGCTTCCCAGACAACATCCCCGTACTCTTCCCAGGCTGCCTGTCCTTGCTTCCATTTTTTATGAGCCTCTTTTTTCCTTTGAATTTTCCTCAGCAGCTCCTTATCCATCCAAGGAGGTCTCCAGGCCCTCCTGCTGCACTTCCTTCTGGTTGGGATGCAACACTCCTGAACTTGTAGTAGGTGATCCTTGAATATCAACCAAGAGTCTTTGGCCTCCCTGCCTTCTAGGGCTATATCCCTTGGAACCTTCCTAAGCAGGTTCCTGAAGAGGCCAAAGTCCAGGGCAGTGAGCTTGCTACATGCTCTTCTCACTGTCCTGAGGATCTCAAACTCAACCATCTTGTGATTGCTGCATCCAAGGCTGCCCTGGAGCATCACATTTCCAACGAGCTCCCCCCTGTTGGTGAGCACGAGGTCAAGCATGGCACCTCTCCTTGTCGGCTCCTCTATTACTTGCAGAAGGAAGTTGTCTTCCACACAGTCTAGGAATCTCCTGGATTGCTTGTGCCGGGCCGTACCGTCATTCCAACAGATGTCAGGGTGGTTGAAGTCACCCATGGGAACAAGGGCCTGCGAGCGTGAGGCTTTTCCTATCTGTCTATAGAGTGCTTCATCTGCAGGTTCTCCTTGATCAGGCGGTCTGTAACAGATCCCCACAGTAATGTCTCCCATAGCTGTTTTCCCTTTAACCCTGACCCACAAACTCTCTGTGGACTGTTCACCTGTCCCCAGACAGAGTTCCATACTCTCCAGCCTATCCCTAACATAAAGGGCAACTCCCCCTCCCCACCTGCCAGGCCTGTCCTTTCTAAAGAGCCTGTAACCTTCCATTCCAACACTCCAGTCATAGGAGCCATCCCACCATGTTTCTGTGATGCCTATTATATCATACCCCGCAGAAGCGCACACATCTCTAATTCCTCTTGTTTGTTCCCCATGCTACAGGCGTTTGTATAGAGGCATCTGAACTGAGCTCTAGCTGAAGCCGGCTCATTGGCTGGAGCGGCTGGAATATATCTACATTGCTCCAAACTTTTACTATAGGTGCTGGCAACTGACTGGGTGTGTTGGGATGGAATGATGCCTCCCTCCCCCAACACATCTAGTTTAAAGCCTCCTTGACCAGTCTGGCAAACCTCCTACCAAAACTGCTCTTTCCCTTCTTTATCAGACCAGCTCCACCAGCCCCCACTACGCCTGGCCTACAAACCTGGGTTCCGTGTTTAAGACACCCAAACCCCTGACTATGACACCACCCTTTTAACCATTTATTAACCTGGCTAATCCTCCAACCTTTTTTTCTTCCTAGCTTTTTTTTTCTTCATGATTGAATATGAGGTTTCCCCAGCTTTAACATTTCTTTTATATATAGGTGGCACCTGCGTTGTTAACCCCACCGACCTGTTCTGCTCTGTTCCTGGTCGTTTATCTCTACTCAGCTCCACTTCGAAGTACAAAGTGACCATTGCAGAGGTGAAGAGGCGCCTTTCACCACCAGAATGCCTCAATGCTTCCCTCTTAGGAGGCATTTTGAGAAGGTAAGTTGAAGGTGAGAGTAACAAGTCCTAGACAGTGATGTAATTTCTCTGATTTTATTTTCTACAAATGGGCTTTGTTCTTTTTCCTGACTTGGTTAGGTGGTCAGAGTTTGGGAAAGCAGGAGATTGATTCTAGGGAAATTTTCAGCAAAGGAGAAAAAAATGAAGATTGTGTTGACATTTTTCATAAAGAGTTTACGTTTTTTGTTGCACTGCTTTTTCTTTTTAACCCATTCAGTTCAGTTACTCATCAAAAGATGAATAAGTGTCGCTTTGCCTTGTTTTGGACAAAACAATACTGAAGCTTCAGTGTGTGGAAAATTTCACCAGAGCTACAAATCTGACAATCTTGTTGAGAAACTGCTTAAAAGTAAATAATTTTACCAAGTATAGTTACAGCTGTCACTAAACAAAGAACTAAAACACAGAGTGTAGGGTTTTCTTTTTCTTCCTTTCTCCTTTGCATTATCTTTTGAGTACAGACAAGACAGAACACATTGGTTTTATTTTTGTTGTTTTGAAATACTCAGAAGAAGCAAGTAATCAGATAAAATTTTGCTTCTGACTCTTCACTGACCAGAGTAGATATCTGCAGACAGCAGAAAGGAGGGAAGTGGCAGGCTGTGCCTCACATTGCAAGTGGAAAACAAGGAAACAACTGTAATTCAGCCAGGCATGTGTAAGTCGCAATGTCCCTTAGGCATCAACTTAGATGGCATAAGCTACTTGAATGCTCTTTGATCAAAGCTAGCTGCAAAGTCATAGGCTATTTCACTGCTGTCACTGAAGGCCACACTGATGCTCATACTTACACTGAAAGTCATTTTAACCAACCTGCAATATTCTAAGATATGTAGTAGTCCACGAGCTGTCTTGAGCCATCTTGCAGAGTAAGGACTATGGATCATAAAATTGTTTCGGGGGCATAAGCCCCATTTAGCTGCCTCTATAGACAAATCCAAAATCTACATCCACAAACATTTTCCTCTGTTATTGCTTCATCTAGGTGAGGTCTTTAGCTAATAGTCACAGAAATATTAATTTCAAATAATCCTACAGCAGACTTCATCCATACCAGTGCAAGATATTAAGAATGCTGAGTCATCAACCTGAACACGGGGAGTTATTTCTCTCCTCTGTTAAAATACTAGAATGATCTCCATATATTTTTGACCCAGATCAAATATCAATCAGTCAAATCAAAACTGGGCATAGTTCAGGAGTTAACAAAAGCCAGGGACTAGTCCAGTGAGCAGTTTGGATGCACTGATTCTATCTTATGAAGCAGAGTGTTAATTAATAGATCTCGTCAAGCTATACCTGTAGGTGTTACAGAGAGCAGATTCAAACACTCTGTCACTGGCTAGCAGAGATGTAATACCATCAGACCTTGTGTGTGGTTTGCCTGAGACCAGACAGGGTTGATTTTTCATCCTGACAGCCATCACTGTCTAGGTATTTTTCCAACTAGCATTTTTTTCAGGATAGTGTGCTCGGAAGACATTTCATGACATACAACATGGTCAAAATTGTGGTATCTCTTAGTGGGAAAAAAATGACCGCTCAAATGGTGGTATTCCAAATTTGGTTCCTTCTTCTGCCTAAAGAAATTTAAACCTGCACATCTAGTTAGTCATATTTAATACTCAGTAATTGATTATTCTAAGCTGAGGGTCCCTCAATCTCATTTGGGGTTAATTAAATATTTGTTGGACAAAAGCAAAGGTAGTTGTACTGATGGCTCTATTATTTAATTACAAGGTCATTCATTTAGGATGGGAGAGATATGGGTTCCAGGCATTGCTCTGTTCAGTGTTAAAGCATTTTAACATTACCTGTTTGCTGCCAGCTGGCTGCTGCATTTGTCTCAAAGTCACAGGTTAAAATTCCCTGAGGCTAAGAAAGAAATCGAACCTAAGTCTGCTGCATAAGTGAATATGTCTCAAATGATTCAAACACTGAGGTGTTGAAGAAAAGCAGATGTGGGATGAACCAGGAACCATTTTGTGAGAACAAAGTGATGTTGGCATTTGGGATAGGGTCATAGATAACCAATGATAGCTGGGATTTTAGCTTCAGCATTTCCTGCTGCCTTAACCTTCTTCCTAAGAAGTATTGGGCTCTGCAGTCTACATTTCTAAGTACCCAGGTTTCTACATAAATTATAGAGAGATAGCTAGAGCTGAGTTCCACACAAACATCTTCAGTTGATGTCTGGCTCCTTTTATAGTCAGGTAAGGGAGATGAGTAAAGTCCCCTCATTGTAGATGTATGCTTAATATCATTCTAGAAGTGCAAATGTCTTTCTTGATTGTCTTTGGAGCCTGGGGATGGCTAATCATGTATAAGCGACCGCGCAGTCAGTGTTTATATTCTGTGTTTGCAATCCCAGGCTCCATGCCCAAATCAGGATCACAGGTTTTACTAGGTAGAAAGCTGTCTGAAGATCAAATGTCCTTGGGACAGGCGTGAAAATGTCTAAGTCTGTCAAAGGACCAACATGAAAGACTCTCATATCATGAGCAGGACATTAAGAATAGAGATCTGAAAGGTTTTCTGTTGATGTCATTAGAGCAGGCATTACCCCACACATTTGTCAATAAGGTGCGTGCAATTTCTAGACTTATAATAACGTGGGGAAAAAAATGCAAAATAAAGACAAGCTTCTCTCTCCTTCTGTTCTCTCATGATAGAGCAAAATCCAAGAATGGAGGACGCTGCCTGCGAGAAAAATTAGACAGACTGGGACTGAATTTGCCTGCAGGAAGAAGAAAAGCAGCAAATGTCACACTGTTGACTTCCTTGGTAGAAGGTAGGGCTTATAATATTGTAATATAGTATAAATTTAATTAAAATGTTTCCTTGTATGAAATCCTTTTCAATCGCAGAGTTAAATATCATAATACACATTTTGTACAAAGAGAACTGATTTGCCTAAAGCCACAGACAGAACAAGCGGCAAAATGGAAGTTCACTCTGAGACATGCTGGAACCACCAAATGGTTTGGTCCTGCAGTCTCCTCAGCACTGATCTATGCATTTTGTTCTGGGATCTGACTTACAAATCAATGATCCAAATGTTCTTGTGAGAAAGATGTATGTCTCATACCAACTCTACAAGTAGGTTTGTTTATCCTCCTTTTTTTTAACTTGTGAATTTTCTGGAGCTGTTCCAAAACTGTGATGATTTTTTTTTTCTTCCATAAGAAAGACTAATATTTAGGCAAGCATTTTCCCTCCCCACACTTAAATGAATGAAATCTGCTTTCAGACAAACTCTAGACAGGCTCAAGAGATACTTCCTTGGCCTTTATTTATTGTTTAAATATCATTCACCAAATACTGCCCGGCTCTTCAAACCTTCAGCTGGGAGATGCAGGTTCAAACCCCTCAGGCAAAGGGAAGAAACTACCTGAATCTCTTCTATTCTGGGTGAATCTACTAAGTACTTACTTTGTTGTCTGGCTGCAAGTGGAAGCTCTGGGAATTTCAGATCCCACCTCCTTAATACTGAGAGTGCTCAGCTCATCCTAAAGGTCAACACCTTCTAGGATCATAGCCTGAAAGGACCATACAGATCAAGGCAAGCAAGCTGAGGTCTCAGCACATATTACCACAGAACCACAGAAAGGTTGAGGCTGGAAGGGACCTCTCATGATCTTCTAGTCTAATCTTTCTGCTTAAAGCAGGGTCAACTAGAAGAGGTTGCCAGGACCTTGTCTACTGAGGTTTTTATCTCAAAGGATGGAGACTCCCCAAGGCAGAAATAGTGCTGAAACTGCACCAGTGGAGGTTTTTCAGCATATAAGAGGAGGAACTGACCTTCTCAGGGACCACTGAGCACAGAGAACTACAATAGAGCCACTCTGAAATACAGGTGTATCCATATCACACCTGCTTGTAATAAAAGGAAAGCTGTAAAGGAGTTACAGTCTTACATAAGGTACCAGTTTACCCTCACAGTCCTGCACACATCTTGGGTCTTAACAGGGAAGAATAAACAGAGCTATGTGTCTAGCTACTGCAAGAGATTGAGAGTGAGGAAGCTTTCTTTCAACTGCTTGTCTTGGATTGATGGCAAAGTACCTCTACTATAAGTCAGAACTAGATTCCTTTTCCCAAAGGACAGAGCTGTGCTTACCTCACTGCCCTTTGCTTAAGTCCAACAACAAACCTATTATCAAGCCTATGACACTGCTTTTTGTTTTTGTTTTTGACTCCTTTACTGTCCAAACCAGTCCTAACGATGTATACCGAGGAGACTGAGCTCATTTTGACAGAGACCTGTTTGCCTAGACATGCTGATAATGAATTTTATCTACTGGAATTTTGAGGAAAGGCATCACCATGTGCATCAACATTCCAACAGAAAATATGAAACTCATTTTCTGTCTAGGTAACCAATCCTCTGCCAAACTCAGCAGTGCTCATTGTCTTTGTCCTCTTTGTACATGCTGCTTCCAAGTACATGTTACTTCCAAGTGGTGCTAACTTGTAGCATTGTTACTGCAAGAAAACTCATCCCTCAATGGCTCCTGCTGCTGGAAGAGGCAGAAATGGAAAGACACAGGCTTATTCCATATTTCAAAGGACATGAAGAAAACAACCTTGGCTTTTTCTGTGTGATAGCAACAGAGAAATTGAAATCGTGACTTACTAATCTTATTAGATCCCTAAATACTAGGTGCACTAACATTAGGACCCAAGACTGTGTCACTCTTGATTACTTTAGATGGCTCTAAGTTTATTATTGCAAAAGGTCTTAAGAGTCACTGATGTATGGAGGCTTTTAATATTTCTGTATGGTAGAAATGTGCTCAACATCTCGATTATCTCTTTGAGGAAAGAAAAGACAAAATTAATTATATGATGATTAAGTATATTGACCAAAGCCATCTCAAAAGTCTCTAGCATGACTAATACATTTCTTCCTCTAAAATAGACTAAAATCATTGACTTTTTTGGGATACTGCTAAGTTCAACAGAGGAACTGTAATAAACTTCTGGGCTGTTGTGGTCATGTGAAGATCCACCATGAAAATCATTGTGGCCTCCTTTTTTCTTTTTTTTTTTTTTTCTGCAAACTTGCTTCTTTTGGGATTCAGCATGGCTGCTGGGTGTGTACAGTTACTCTTGGTTTGGTCAAGTTGCACTTTTAGTGTCTTTGGTAGGCATTTCTGGGGCCCAGAGTAGGAATTGTTTGACATATCAGCTCTGTTTCTTACGTTGTCATTCACGTAAATCAGCACAATGAGTGGAAAGAGACTGGGAGAATGAAGTCCGCATTGCAAGTCTCCACAGAAGTACGGGACACATTTTTGCGCCACCTGTAGGTGAGGGTCGCCCTCTAGTGCCTAGATTAGGTGAAGGGAAAGGTCATTTTTCTTACCAGGTCTAATAAGAAAATACCTACGTCTTAGCTAAAACCATAAAGGCTTCTCCATTAAATACTAGCATTGCCAGGTCTAAGCTTTACTGATGGCTCAAAGGAGTCAAAGGCCTGCCCACTGGGCACAAGAAAGGATGTGAGGAGAGGTGTCCCCTTCTGTTTGGACAGGTCACAGCATAAATGTCATCGCAGATGCAGGTAAAAGCGATGCATGAATGACTTTAAAGCCATGAGATTTTTTACACACACACACACACAAACAAACAAACAAAAGCCAACAGAAAACAGAAAAAAAAAAAAAACAAACCAGAAAAAAACTGGAATCTGTTTTCCTGTCAAACCTAGTTAAGACATTAAATTTCCTAGACACTGCATTGAGGTCATTCATCGTTTTCAGACCAAAACACTAGAGAAAAATAAGTCAGAAGTTACTTTTTTCACCCTGCTATCAACTGTTGCGCTTCTCCCCCACCAGCCTTTGTTAAATATCCTTCCACTTGTTCCTCGTCCCTTCTCACCCTACAAATATAAAAAAAATTTCTTTCCACCTTCTGCCTATCCCTCCTACCCCTGGGTAGCATTTCTGCTGTGTAGAGCATGTGGAGGAGGCAAAGCAGAGGAGAGTAGGAGGTTCAGATGCTGATTGTCCCTCTCCTGGGACACAGCTTTTGCCTTCACTCTGCGTAGGAGCATCTCTCATTCTTGTTAGACCCAGGAGACATGCATGCTGCTCTTTGCACCCTGCCCACAAAAACCTGTCAAGGTACATGGCTGGCCTCTCCACTCAGGCTTTCCAGAGCTGTCTTTGCCAATTTAGGTTTAGCAATTGTCCTTTACCATCATGCAAAGCTCCCTGAACAATTGTCAAATCATATAGGAAACACATCACTGCCTATAGCTGCAAAGCCGTGTGCTGGGAGAAAGAGTCAGTGATCCCCAATATCTATTCTTTGTCTCTGCAGGAGAAAAGAGCTGAGGATATTGCACATAGGGAAATTTGTTTTCAGATTGGAACAAGGCAACTGGCTCTTAAAGACAGAGATTTTAGGAGTTTCTACTTTCAGTATGACTCCTCCCTGATGTAAATAATAACTAGGTAGAAGAAGGCAAACCTAAGATTAAAAACAGAGGTTAGTTCTTCCACATTTCCAACATTTCCACATTCTCCCTAGAATAAATACTTGCCTAAATTATGATGTAGACAAAGAACATCTTTTATGACATTTTGTACAAATTACTTTGCTCCACCAAGCAGGCGTATTTCCTACTATACAGTAATACAAGGAACATCTATTCAGTGTGATTGACAAAAAAATAATATGTATAGAAGTATGTAATAATCCACCAAATGACCATTTGGTCCAGGTTCAAAATGGCATCAATGAAATACGACAAATCATGTTCTGCAGAGTGTTTTCATGTCCAGATTTGGTTTTCTATTTAGAATTTGATATTGTAATTTGGAATGCCTACTCCTTATATCACGTAGAAGTGCATACTTATGTGAATAAATATGTGTAGTTCTAATGTGCATTCATAAATACATCAGCTTTCCATTTCCAGTAAAAATATATTTTAAAATACATTTAAAATGTTATTTTTATTATTTCACAAGCATAATATCTATATTTTTATCTATCTATATCCACAAGCAGATAAGACATTTTATTTCTTATTGCTCATGACTTGATCTCCTCATAAACCATGTGTTCAATCACAATCATGGCTCCAGGTAAAATGGACAAATTTTATAGTTTTGTATCATTTTCTCAAATCATCAAAACAGTTTAATGTCATTTTCTCAGCTCTAGTAAATAATACACACCATCTTTGTAAAGGTAACTTTGAATGAAAATTCATATTTTCATTCCCTCTTTTTTTACATTAACTGCAGACATAAATATTTCAGGCAGCTTGTTGCTGACCCTATTACATAAATGCCTACAGTTCATCACATAAAAGTTTTGCTCTCTTGAAGAAACCAGTCATTTCCAATGACTAAATATTTAAAATCCTTGCTGACTACATTCCTTATTACTTGGATTTGACTGGGATCAGGACAGAGCTGTCTGGAGAATAGTAGTTCCAGCTGATGACAGCTTCAAACATTTGAATTTTTATCTTCTTTCCATGCTGCTATGAAAACAAACCTATCAAGTGTTTTAATAGAGTTTAGTCAAAAGCAAAACCTGGTGTTTTTCTGCAATTGATTTACTCTGTAAGTTTTTCTTTAAGGAAAAGTAAAATCATAATTAAAATGGAAATTTTGAAATTGAAATTTTGAAACATCTTTACAGAAATTTAAAAGCCATGTTCTTTTCATGGAAGAGAAAGGGTATAGATTTCTACCCTTTCTCGTTCATGAAGAACTCTGGGATAGATTTTTTAAATACAAAACTGGCAGCCAGCTATATGCCTTTTTATTCTGACTCACTGCTAACATGCCACTGAAAACTACTTTTATTTCACTGAAAATTATATTACTTTTCCAGAAGCTGTAAACTAAGTGGAAACCATATCTCCTTCCAACTCAGAAATAGTGGTTGCTTGTTAACTTCTTATTCATTTTGGGCATACTGGAAATCATGTTTAAAAAAAAACAAATAATGCAGATGATTTTGAGTATAATCTTCATTTTTTCTGTAAAGTTGATTACAGCTTCCAAGCTTGTTGATGGCTAGTATCAGCAAATTCCCTGGATCAGTGCATGTATTTTACTAATACTTGAATCCAGTTAGGTGAGATAAACACACAATAAAGTATTTGCGGAAATTTAATGTCTTTTCTCTGGTAAAAACTCCAGTGATAGAAGGGGAGACAATAAACTCTGAAAAGATGGAGAATAGATTCGTGAATAGAGGTCAATACACGTGGTTCCTTATGCCTCATGCTGCCCCTGCACGTGACCACTGCTCCCATGGAAGTTTCCATCTTCCTCAGCTTGGCCAGGTCTGTGCAGAGCAGACTCAGTCTTTCTGGGGATGGGATGTATTTCATCATCTCTATTGTAGCTGTATCCATCCTTTCATATCACATTGTAGTCAGCAGGGAGAAATCAGCCCTTCTGGGTGATTAACAATTTAATTAAATTGAAATAATAATTAAACATTTGATCAGGTTCCTCAGAAAAGCTGTGGAATCTCCACATCTAGAAATATTCAAGATCAGGTTTGAAAAGGCCAAGAATAACCTAATCTAAGACCATGCTTTCAGCAGAACATAATATCTTGAGTTCCCTTCTAACCTGGACTTTTCTATAATTCTTCTGATCCAGTTTTGCCTCCTACTTTAGTATGGCATGATACATGCTTCAAAAGCTAGTTTGTCTCCACTGACTTGAAAGTATTAGGTCAGACATCAATATCAGACATCAATATCAGCATTTAATCAGATTAATTTTACTGCACATATTCCCAAAGGGAAGTGTTCCAGGTCCTGCATCCCTCTTAGCTGTTCACCTGGAGCATTAGGCTGATCTCCAAACAGCCAGGATCCAGTTCCACTTCTCATGAACGCAAACAAATACACAATTCTGAAATAAATAAAAGAAAATAATTAATAAAATAATAAATAAAATAGCAACAACACCTAACCTCGAAACTATTCTTGAGCACATTTCTGTTTAATCACTCATGCAGATGTGCTTCAACATACACTTCAGGTACCTGACCTATTTCCACAATGAGATGACAGCAAGTATCATCTGGAAGTTCCTATTTCCCACCAGGGAAAGACTAACTTTTGCACAGATGTTCACACTCCAGGCAGCTGTGTTCAATCATATAAGTCCCACACCATGGCTGGCAGAGTCATAGCATGCAGGCCAGAGTAAACCCTAACACAAAATTCTCAGTTCTCTATGCTGGTGGAGAGGGGCAGGTTCTTCTAGAGGCACTTGGCACCCAGCATGGAGTTGGATTATGGTGCCTGGTACAGTATGGTAGAGAGGTGCTCAGTGCCACCCCTGTCGCAATCTTCTCACAAAGCCTAATCAAACTACAGACTTCCTTTGCATTGATTTCCCCACCTATAAAACAGCAACTGTGATCTTCATTGTCATCCCTTTTTGTCTTGTCTGATCAACTTTGATTGTAATACTTTTGGAAGCAGGATTATTTCTTGTGCTTTATTTTGAAGCCTGTTTATCTTTAGTATGGGACACTTGTATTGTGCCTGCTGGCTTAACACCCAAGCAAATATGCTGAGATGTATGTTATCCCCACGGGTCTATTCTACAGGTAAGGTTATTATCTGAGATCTTCAGAGTTCTTTATTCCTACCTTTCACTAATTTCCATGCCCTAAATATCAATCACGAACTGGGCTTACAAAACTTGAGCAGCTGCCCAGTACTAACTGGTAGCAAGGGAGGAGATAAAACCAAGTGTCTTGACCGGTATATTTTCCTGAGAGGAACACCCTTCCTATCTTCTGGCTGGCACCATCTGATGACTAAGCAAGAGCAGGCCAAATGGGCTCAAATCTGTAACAGATTGGGAATGAATGTCTACAAAAGTGGTTTGTTATTGCTTGGTTTTTTGTTGTTTTGTTGGTTTTTTTTTAAGACTGGAAGGCATTCTGTGACCATAATAACAGTAATAATAATAACCCTAAAACCTGACTGACCTGTTTTGTTTAACTACAGGGGAAGCATTACATTTGGCCAGGGATTTCGGCTACACCTGTGAAACAGAGTTCCCTGCCAAGGCAGTAGGAGAGCACATTGCCAGACAGCACATGGAACAGAAAGAGCAGACAGCGAGGAAAAAGATGATCCTAGCAACAAAGTAAGAAGGGAAGGGAAACTAAAAAAGAAATCTGGCTGTCACTTCTCCATTTTGGATCTGGGGGCTGGGGGAGGGAGGAGTGGGAGTGTGGAGCTGGGATTGCAGTAACTGCTATCACAACAGTAGTCACTGACAGCAAGTGAGAGCAATCCTCTTTAGAGATTCTGTAAGAGGAACCTTTTTTACTGCAATGAGGCTTTAGTGGCTGTGCTCTCATGGCCTGCGGTTAAAGAGGCATGCACATCTTCTCAAACGCTTTGGTTTATATGAAAGGAGGAGATAATATTACATGCTACAATCTATAAGCACAAAGACCAGCTTTGTCTCCTGTTTATATGTGACTGGGAGATCTAAGCTGCTACTGAAGTACTAGTTACTGTGGGATAATTATCATTAGTCTGCTGAGGGAGAGCTAGTTTTCATAGAGATAGATGCTTTTTTGGATGGAAATTGCAGGAGTTCCCCTGAAGTCAAAGGCACTGTAAAAACGTACACCAACAGGGGAGCTTTGCTAAAGCCATTAAAGACATATGAAGACACCTGACTTTGCTCTAAACAAGCCACTCACCTCCCTGAAGCAGTATCATCATGTTAGAATAACATTTCATCTAGGTTAATTAGCCTTCATGAGCCATGGGAAACAAGAATAAATAGTAAGCAGGGGACAACGTAGAGCTACAATAGGTGTACAGTTTATCTGTCTGGTGTAACCATGAACATGCTCATACTCTTCTTATGCCTACTGCAGTGTCACAAAGTGAGGCTACAGGAGAACTGAGGCCAGGCACCAGAGCTGTCAAACTACCATCCCAGTGATTGAAACATTGGGAAATCATGCAAGCTGGGATCCAACAGAGTGCAATCACCCTTTATTAGGGGAGAAGACTGACCAGCAACAGGGCTGTCCTTTGTATTCCAATGCCCTTCTGCTTTGCCAGGATTCCTGGCCTTTGTGTCCCTTTCGTATCCAGAACTCTTTGCCCTGAAGGTGACCCAGGGACAACATGAATTGAAACATCTCAGACTTGTGAATTCGGTGAATATAGCCAATGATCCTTTCCTGGGGAGATAAACTGAGCACCATGTGGCTTAGGGGTGATTAATTTAATCACTTGTGGGTTAAAAGGAATAATATAAGTGGAACATGATCTTATTCTTACCTATACCCACATTTGTTTTAAGGGCATGAGGAGTTTCAGAGACATGAGAATAAACCAGCTGGCAAGAGGCAGCGCCTCTCTGCAAGCTCTGTCTTCCTATTGCTGTATAGCCCATTAACAGTCTGCACCCCTACCTACAGAAATGCTGATTGTACTGCTGGGCGGTACAGCCTAAACAAGAGTTAAGACTGCAAGTTGCCCCAGTTGGAGGATTTGCCCCATCTGTAAACTGTTACTCAACCCCTTCTTTTCCACCTCTAGTGAGATCGTATTCCCATAGGTTGCAATAATCAATGGGTAGCTATTATATCCTGCCTCCAAAGGCTGCCCCATTGAGGGAGTCTCACTACTCTTTCTCATCACTCCATACCTACTTTTTCACCCTCTTTTACTACTGAGATGGGGAGTTGTGGGCATACATTACTCCTAACCCCCATGAATTTTGAGCTTGTAGGTTGTTATCCTGCACTTGTAAGGAACAAAATCACCTTTTCTCCATTTCTTCAGTTTAAAACACCAGGTAAATTGATCAGAGAGATCTGTTGATAATACATATATATTATCAACAGATAATATAGTATATATTATATATACTACTCTAATCATAGTCCTTGTAACAAGGACAGATGGGTCCATATATGTGCTACTACTGCCCTCTCCTGCTTGGAAGGAGAACAGTGATTCACAGGCCAGTCCTGTCCAGGTATTACAAGAGACACAGGTCCATAGTATCATAATATTAGCATTATATTTCCCAGCCATGCTTCCATGTGTCTGCTTGTAGGTGCTCCAAACATCTGTCAAGAATTTCAAATATTCACTAAGCACGTATAAGCCCTAGATTTGTAATAATTTCTGTAATTTTGCACCTGCCCTGCGTCATGTGCTTGTGAGATAGGACACCAGAAAAAGTGGTGGATTGTTGTGCTGCCACCAAAAACAACACTGCAATTACAGGGTGGTAAAATCACCCATGGCAAGCTTTGCTTATGGAAAGAACTTGACTGCCACCATCTCTGCTCATCGCCATTGTTCACTCTATGTCAGAGCCAGAAGCCCATAGAAGTGTGACTTTGGCAGCCCTGGTGAGATCTTCCGCATGTGGGGTCTTGAGGAAAAATAAGGGAAAAGAACCAAGTTATTTCCACAATTCATATTACATAGGTGAAATTCCATTCTGGATTCAGACATCCAACTTCAGAGGCTTAATTCAGTTTTCCAAACATAGGTACCTACTGCCATTTGAGAGAAACTGGTTATCCAAGTTGTTTACCAGCTGCTGCTTCAGGTTTCTTTTTCTCTGACAGTGGTTACGGATGTCTTGGGCACTACATATCTAGGCGAGGGTAACTAAGAGCTCTATTAGTTCTTAGTGTCTAGAATGCAGAAGTCTCTTGTGTCCAGTAAGAGTTCACAGTGCTATCCAAGCCATCTATACCTTGTGATGAAGAAATCCAACCTCTCTGAAGTATTTCAGTTGCCATGCACAGAACTGTGGCCTACAATCTAGTGAAAGTTAAACACTGCTACTTTAGATACCAGTAACCCTCTTTAACACATGGAGGCTCTCTTTACTGCCCTACTCAACCCTACCTGGTCTGAGGCTATGTTGATAGTAATACAGTAAGTGAAATCAGGACCATTTTTTACCATGGAACAAGACATGTTCATTATATTAAACTGCCTGACCTTCCAAAGCTATCTCTTGGAAATGGTCTCTACATTTGCTAACTCAGAACCTGGCTGGGATAGAATTAGTTGATGCAAGAAGTTGGTGGCATGGCCCATTCTAACAATTTGATGGTCTAGACAATGAAGTCTTACCTGACAATTATCATGGGAAGAAGAGATAATTGTGCTCTGTAGCCAGTATAGAACACTGAACACAAGTGACAACAAGGGCAGGATGGAAGTGAAGCAAGCTTTGGTTAAGAGCTGAAAGAATAAGAAAGGGTTAGCAAGGGGATAATGAAAGATGCTGGTCTCCTATGATTCTCCTTCTTTCCATTCATCTCCTTTGACAAAGTAGATGATTGTCTGGGCACTTCAGAGCAAGATGCTCCAAAACAAAGACTAAATTGTCATCATTCTGGTCAAAGGGTGCTGATACTGGCTTATTAACCCTAGACCCTTTAGAAAGGTTTCAGGACATACCTATGTAATTCACACTTAAATGAAAAACTAAAAAAGGAACCTGATTCCTGATGGTCTTTTACCATGGGTTAGTTCACCTGGCAGAGATGTGGGAGACCCTGAATGACTTTACAATTGGAGACTAAACATGGTCAGATTGCAGCTAGGACAGACTGCTGAAGTCTGCCTCAATAATTCCACTTGATGGAGAGGTACATTGTCCTGTGGGAAACATCACAGAGTATTACAGCACAAGGCCTTCCACATGAGACAGAGGGACAGATATACACATATTTACACGGACCAAAACAGAACAGTGTGAATAACAGTTTTATGTAGGATTACTTACAGCCAGTACAGAGTAATCAAAACCTAGCTCATGACACTATGTGCTCAGTTTTCTGAAAAGTAGCTCTGCGACTAGACACACAGGACTTGTATCTCACTGATGTCTGATCTTTGACTGCCTGGCAACTCTGCCACATTTGGACTATATCAGACTCATGGGCACACATTTGCCCCACTCTTGTACTCACCACAAGGCATTTGCTTTGGTAACTGCTACAGATAGGATCATGGACTACATGGGCTCTTGTGATCCAATTCAGAGTTTTTTTATCTTTTTCTGATTATATACTGGAATATCTGACTGTCTATCACAAATAATTGGGCACCTCCCTTGCTGGAGTAACCCGGACTTTTCTTATTAATCTGTGGCTCCTAAAACAGCATAACCACCTTTGTTTTTTCAAAATCACAGTCCAACTCAGTAAATAATTGTCAGCACTCTCCCTGTCACTACCCCAGGTGATGTTTTATTGCTAGTGGAGGCTCTGAAACACCACTTTACCTATAAATCTCCTTGAAAAAAAAGTAGGTTACTGCCTTTTGCAGGTTTTCGTGTATAATAAAAAAGTTTTTTTCTTTTCTTTCAATCTGCCAACATTCAGTAAAGACTTTTGACATGTGAAGATAGAAAGGAACTTAATTACACACTTGGTTCTGACATTTTCCTTTGTCAAAATGCAAGAACTTTTAAGATAAACTTTTTCAACAGGTAGAAAGTAGAGGTTGGAGGGAGAGGAGCAGTGTTGACAGGGCCAACTGGGGATAGTAGATTGTTTAGAAGCCAAAATGACTGACTGTTTTCAGTTGTTGAAAGGAACTGTTTTTCCTCTAAGGACCTGATTCATTAAAACTGTATGCTGCATTTACATACATTTCTGCTGAATACCTCTCTTTGCCTGAAAGGTTAAGGCTATGCTCTCTTTGCAAGCAGTCGGTGTCTAGGTCCATACAGATGACAAGTGCTTACAGAAATCAGGCTTGGATGAAGTCCAGCAGCACAGTAGGAAATAGTGTTTTTCATTTCCTTTCCTCTCAGTCAAGAGAGAGCTATGGTATCTATAGTCTATTTCAACAACTTGCAGAACAGTGATAAAATTCAGAGTAAAAAAAGGTTAGTATAGTTTCCTCGCTTGAAAATGGAGAACCATCTAAAGATCAAGCAGCTGAGTTTACCCACTTTTTTTCCATTATGCCCCTGTCCCAAAGGACAAGAGTTACAAGGTGACAATGCACTCAAAATTTATGTAGGACCAGATGTGCAAAGTCTTCTAACAGAAATTGTGGACAACAGAGATGTTCTTTAGTATTAGAAACTGCCCACACACACAGTGATTGCATCTGTGCTAGCAAAGTAAACTATTCACAAACTATTCAGAGTTATGAGATTGCAATTGTCCATCTTATTAAAATGTTAGAATTGTTTTTTGAACTCTCCCGAATATCTTCTGGGTATGTAGTGGGAGATAGCATACACCAGGTTCCATACTGAGGAAGCTACCCTGTTTAGGACTCTAGAGGAGCATAACTATTCAGACCTTACCAGAAGATGACAATTTACATGAGGTTATGAGAATGATGCCTGGGACTGTATACTTTACAATGCAGATGAGTGTCCTGATCATCTGGTGGGCATAAGGTCCTCCTGACTTCACACCAAGTGCCTGTATTTCCAATACAGTCAATGGAAAATGGTATGCTCATTTAGAGAATTCTTGAGAGAGAGATCCAGTTTTAATTAACTGTATCATAAACCAATTGAAAGTAAGTGGTGTCTCTATTTATCCATGGTCCAGATAGTAGTCTTCTGAGAACACACACTAAATAGAGCTGATGTGGTTTCTTTTTTGAAAAGTACATTAGTAGAATATTCCTAGACTAATTTGCAAACTGACCCAACACAACAATATTACAAGAATGAAAAGACCATATTTTCAGGTCTCTCCTAGTGTAAGGTCCTATACAGTGATATCCCAGGGGATACTTTTAAGCCCCAGGTGCTGAGGCATCCTGAGAAGCCTGAGGTAAGGCCCAAGAGGAAGAGAGAAGACAGCAAGGCCATTCAAATTTACCAAAGAAGTTGGGCTACTAGGCTGGTAGAACACCAGGCAAGACAGAGCCCAAGGTCCCATTGCAAGGTGCTGAACCGTGGTCCCAGGTCCTACCTTCTGAAAGTGTGTATTGCCCTGTAAATGATCACTGAGAAAAAATGGAGATGATGGGATTTGCCTCATGTGCCTGTCTGTTGTGTAAGCGCTGCCAGCTGAGTCACTGAGCTCCTCACCATAAAGGAAGAGTCACTGCCAATACAAGTCCTCTGGACTGCTGTAGACACCTACTTTAGGCTGCCTGATGTGTGGTAGAAATATAGAACAATTTAATTAATGTTTCAATAGGAAATTTAAATACTGCTGCTGTAATTAATTCTCAATCTGGAAGACTTATGGGAGAGGTCTCTGTTGAGAATCCATCAGTTTTGTCACAGGCTCTACAAAGAAGCAGAGTATGGTCATAAATGGAAATTGTGAGAGCAAAGGTAGCATTTTCCTTCACAACTCCTAGTGTTCTACTTGTCTTAAGAGTTAGGGGGTTAGAAAAGCAAGGCCAAAATGGCCAGTACTTCTACTTGCAGATAAACCAGTGCAGAGAAGCAACTATACAAGTAGTGTATTTACACAGCATCTTCAGGCATGTTCTAATGTTGTTATCATTTTCTTTAAACATAACCCTGGCTTCTAACAAAGGTGAGCTTAGTCAGACTTAACACTACCTAACTGAGTCCAGCTCAGGACAGAAATCATGTTTTAAAATGTCAGCGTTAATATTGTTCCAGAGGGCAACTATTCCTGTTCAAGACATTCTGTATGTTGCTGGCTCTGAGAATTTGGGGCAGAGAAGCAAAAAGGGAGATTTGTTTGCCTTTAATTTCTTTAACAAAGCCGCTGCCAAACATTTCTGTTATGAATGAGATCATTCAGGATGAGGTGACAGCGTTATGGGAATCAGTTTTATGGAAAGGATTACATTCGTCTTATTTAAGAATTTCCACTTTCCTTTTAGACAAATATGTAAAGAATTCCAGGACCTTCTAAGTCAAGACAGATCCCCCCTCGGATCCTCCAGACCAACTCCAATATTAGACCTCGACATCCAGAGACATTTAACACATTTCAGGTATGATTTTGAAAGAGGAACAATTAACTAAAATCCATAATTTTGATAAAGACTACATATGATGTCATAGTGGTATTTGTTCCCTTAGTTAGGAACTTAGATAGACTATAATGTCCATAATACCTGTGTTCTCTGTGCTTATTAAAAGCATGTGTTTGTCCAGCAATGTAGGTCAGGTTAGTTGCATTCACCCTGCTTCTAGGACCACAGTCTGAGTTTGCATAAGTAATTTTCTACATCTCCTGGCCAAATCTGCCCATCTGGCCAGAAAGTTGTCTTGCTCTAGATGTGAGCCAAATCACAAACTAACTAACAAAGTGGGTGGTCCAGAAATGTAGAAACTGAAGTCCAGAGCCAAAGTGACAATATAGATGAATCAAAGTAGCAATAAAAGGAGGAACAGTTAGGCTGCACCTTTACCAATTCACTAAATAGTTCCAGAGCCTCCTCTATGCTACTGAGACCATTTGACGTCATCTTACTGTGACTGTAGTATTAACTTTTTGGTCTCCAAAGCAGACTGTCCTCAAAGTACACTACCTACCGGAACAGTTTTACTGCACTAATTGAACAACTACTAACTACTAACTACAGAACAACACCCTGGAAAGGTGTGGGAGAACGCAAGCTGGCTGAGACTAAAAAGCCAGAGACTGCTCGTATATTTAGACTCAGTTTCTGGGCCCATGCCATAGCAATATTTAATTTACTGGTGTAGACAGCCCAAGAAGCCGTTATGAAGACAAAGACCAAACTTCATCAGAATTTTGTCTAAGTTATGGATAAAAGTGCATAGATGATTTGAGATCAGAGAGATTTATTAGCCCAGGAGTTGCTGTATAATTTCACATTTTTCATTAGGCAATGTGCTAGATACAGCTAAGAGTGAGATGGCAACTTCCAGAGAGACACTTTGAAATTGTGGGGTCATCTAAGATTATTATCAAAGATAAGCTTGATGAAACATCCTACAGGTGCTCCTATTTCTGTTCAGACCACAAAGGGGAATACATGACTAGCTCAGGCTGCAGATTTTATTTTTTTCTAGCAATTAATTAGCTGATATGTGAAATCATCAACATGTAAAGAACTGTTCCAGAGAGTTGTTTACAGACCATAATACCAAACAAGTTCATTAGGCCTATAAAGGCTTAGAATGATGTTCCATATTCTTTGCTACAGCCAGCTGAGCCACTCTTCATTTGTTGGGTGGACAGGCAATTTTGGACCCCAACATCCAAGTGTCTTTTAGCTATTATGATTCAGATAGAGCATGAAACACCCAGCAGTCAGGTGGTATGATACCTAAAGTTTAGTTCCTCCAACTTTGAATGGATTCCAAAATACCAATACCCACCATCCCACTTCTTTCATCTATGTGTCAGGGGGTGGGGAGAGGAAATGGCAGTGCCTGGTCCACAAATGCACGCGCTCCTGCTTATTCTAACACATACCTGCGTGCATCCTATGTGTAAATGAACATATCTAGAAACCCAACTTCTGTTCTCATGTGGTGATGTGCACACACATGTACATACCATTTATGTCTATGTATGCTTTCCCTTATAAACACATACCCCAATACCTAACTACACTGTCACACCGAGGGAGACATACTTATTTATATAGGATACTGATAGAGTGATTTTAATAGGTTACCTAGGCTTGTGGAAAAATAGGTAATTCCCCATTACGTGCACAAAAAGTAAACATGATACAAGGTAGCTAATCCCCAAGGATTCCTGTGCTTAAAGAAATAGCAGTCAGGATAAAATGCTGAAGGCTTCATCTGCAAAAGCTGTCAACTGGTACAGCTCCCATCCTTCTTTCTCTGCTATACTTCAGTAGGTTGAAGTACAAAGCTACTGTAGCAGCTCCTGGATCATTCAGTACTTTCTTTCCTGCCTGCAATAAGAAATAAGTGTTGGACTGAAAATCGGCACCTAGAAGAGCACAGGTCTTGACCCTACAAAGATGCTTCCCTGGGCTTAAATCAGACAGCCTTCTCTGATTGTGTTTAGTGAATGATGAGTACTGCCAGACCCACAGGCTGAGCTGAGACAATATTCCTTTTCCATCTGTTATAGAGAAGTTGAGGTCAGATGCAGATTCTGACCCAGACTTCCAATGCTACTCATCTACATGTAGGAGCCTTCGTTTCAGCCATGTGTGTACTTTCTGCTGTACCCTCTAAGCATCTTGCCTGTATAGCCCATGAAATCTGCATTACAGTTAAGCAGACCTAACATAGACATCTATATTTGTGTGACTTGAAATTCTCTCTAAACTCTAGTGACTGAGCAGTGCGGTCTAGATCTTCAGCTGAACGAGAGCTTAGCCAACCAGTACACATTAGACACTTGTATTGTAAATAGCTAAAACTAGCATAGACAAAAACATCACTATTCCCATCCACTAAATCTGGCAGCCTCCACAGCTAGATCACCTGAAGCCCTCTTACGACTACGTGCTTTCTTAAGTATCACAGAAGGCACTTAAATCTGTCACAGATGTCAGAGAAGATACAAGAATGTAATTCACCATGTTTTCAGGAGCATTAACTATTTTCCAAGTCAAGTTTTCAACACAGAAAACAGTGCTTCTGACTGATCACTTGGTTTCCCTGTGTTTCTCTGGGGGATGAACCTCAGACTGAACCAACCTCTGTCACAGGAAATTTGTACCTGATCAGTTGGGATGAGGGAAAATTCTTGATACCCCAAAACACAGAGAAAGGTCTTGTAACCTAGGAACAATACGCTCACTGCTATCTGAGGCACAGCACAGCCTCCTACTGGTCACAAGCAGAAATAGAATAGTCAAAAATCACTTAATAAAAAGATGTTGAAAGCATCTGCCTAACAATCCACATGCCTAACAATAAGAATCAGATAGTCATAGTACATTGGCTTCCACATACCTGATCATAGGACCCAATCATATGTTCCACCTAAGACTGGATTTCCAAAAGAACAGGTTGGTTGTCCTTATGTATTACAGTGAAATGAACATGATTATCATGTATCTATACATATAAAAAGCTGTGCAACTGTATGCCAGAGAGGATGTGATCTTCATGCCATAGTCATTGTCAAATACTCTGATGACATCTACGGCAATCAGAGTCTAAAATTGGACTGTCTTAGTAAGTGGATGGTCCTGATAATACACATGAAATTAATGTTATTTATGACCAAAATGCCCAAGAGTTGTTGATGGTCTACAAATGCATCTTGCAGAGGAGATTTAAATCTGAAACAATGACTCCATGTAGTCATCACAATTTTTTTAATATGCTTTTTCAACAGTGAAATTTTCATCTTCTTTTCTAGCTGTATTCCAGAACTGTACAATTTCTCACAATAAATACTCCGTCTTTTTGCTGCATAAGTCTCTAGACTGGGAGGGGGACAAAATATCACATTTGGCAAGGACAAAGCATAGTCTTTCACTGGAATCTCTGATTAGGTTTTGTGAATTTTTTAGCATAAATATAGAATTTTTTTTCAAAATTATGATATTATGCAATAAGAGGTGATTTTTGATCATGGTAAGTCTCATATAGTTTTATACAGATTTAATATAACAAGAAGAGGTTCAGAAATTCTGCCTTGTAGACTGTAATAACCAAGGCAGCAAAGAAAGTGCAAGGTGAAAAGTTATTTTATACACATATGTATATGCTTATGCAATATGATGCAAAAAATCATGACCAGAAAAATTTAGAGAAATCACACATATCTTTATTATTAGAATAAGTTCTAAGATAATAGAAGACTTTTTGAAGAGCTGTAACAACTGATACCTACAGTAGAATCCAACTTCTACTACCTTGGGGTAAAAGGGAGTTTTCTTTAGGAATAAATTATCCTACAGCTAGTAAGTGCAGAGTTATGTGCTCCACTTGTTCATGATGTTACTTCTCAACATTAATAATTAAGACCAGGATTCACAGACTGGCACAAGTCAGATGGAAGCAGTGCTTCCCATTTCCTCTGTTTTAAATCTTCAAGCTCACATTTCTCTGAAGTTTTTCAACTGAGTTCCAATTCATCAAGATCTGTAAATATGTGTCCAACCTGAAGTACAGGATAACCCACTTGAAGGGATCAAAATTGCTGGGTTTGCTTAACCTACAAACTCAAAGTTCACACAAAGGGTAAAACAGTGGAAATCTTCAAAGGAATTGCCAGTGAGCCTGAAAACTGCTGAGTTGTGCACAACTTTACCACATAAGCAAAAAAAGAGGCTCTTCTACACCTGTGGTACAACCATGTTTGTGCAGCTGCTCTGAGATGTCCATTTGACCTGCATACAGAAAACTCAATTCTGCATGAAGAATGAATTCCCAATATTGTTTGACTATGAACCAACAATTCCATAGACCCTTACATTTTTATCAGCAACTATTGTGCAGTACCTCAGCAGGGGTAGTATTATGTATGCTTTATTCAAGATTTCTGGACTGAAAGCCACCACTTGAGCTACCCTGTCCCTGGATTCTGAAAACAGAATCATCATTAAGACACAGAGCAAACGAAAAACACCCTGGAAAAAGTGCTAAGATGTTGTGTCCAGGTATATGAGTGTCTCTGTCATTTTTTAAAGGCTGATCTGTGTAAATGCATTTATGAGCATACTACAGTATAGAGAGAAGTCAGCACATCAGTACTAGAAAAGAACACAAAAGTTTCTGTAACTTTAAGGAGAGGAACATATTTCTCTCACCCTTTGCTTTCAAAATGGAGTGAGCATCAGGAAAGGGAGAGTAAAAGACTGAGAGTGACAGCAAAAGAAAGGAAAACATGAGAAAAAGAAAATATTTAAATAAACCTTAGTTTCTTTTTTAGAATGACTTTTATTACTTACAACGCAGATGTCTTCTCCCCAGAGCCCCACAGAATCATGATAGACTTCTGTGTACACATGCATGCATCTGTGTATGCAAAAGGGAAAAGCAGGAGGTTTAATGTCTTCTGAAAATCATTTTCAAATTCTAC